CGGGCCCAGCCGCTCCGCGGCACGTGGGATCTTCCCGGACCGGGGCACGAACCCGCGTCCCCTGCATCGGCAGGCGGACTCTCAGCCACTGCGCCAGCAGGGAAGCCCCCACCACTATTTTTAATCCCACCACATAGAAGCCAAAGAGCAACTGTGTGTGTGTCAACTAGATTCTCTTCGTGTTTCCATTTCTTCAGTCTTCCCACACTTTAAAATTCTTAACTTTTGTGGAAAAAAAAAAAAACCCTCATATCATTCTGTATTCTTCCAGTGTTCTACAGGGTAAATTCTATGCCCTACAGTTTATTTATTTTTTAATCCCTACTTTTGGAATTTTCATATCTCACATTTTCTTTCTGTGAAAGGTAATTGAGACAAATCAGATATGTTTAGCATTAGGATATTTTATGGACTATGGATTTACAATTGACTATTTAGACACTCATAAACCCAAAGTCTTACTGATGTTCTCAGCTAACTCCCCCTGAGGACAGCTGTGTAGACTGCTGTCTAGAACATGGTAAACAAGTAGGAAGATATGTAGTAAAAAGGAGAATCAGAAACCGGGGAAAGTGGGGAAAAATATTCTTGAATATTATGACATGTCATCTTAAAGGAATATATCCAAAACTGCTAAACCCATTATGTTGCTATAAATCTGCCTCAGTTGTCCACCTGTTACACTGACTACATTTATTTGAGACCTACCTGTACATGAGGGACGGAGAAGTAAGATGAGCTTTCACTCACCTCTCCTTTCTCAGGTCTGATTGCTCAGAGGGCGCTTAGACCCTTCCATTCTCCTGCTGGTTCTGTCAAGCAAGGCTCTGCAGCTGATGGGGCCTTAACCTGTGGTGTCTGAGGAGTAGAGGAGGCTTTCATGGTCCAGAGGCCTCAGCTTCAGACTACTCCCCTGATTCTCTAACATCTTCCTCTTACACTGACTCAGAGAATCTGCCTGCCTGCTCCCCAGACAGTCAACATATGTGGGCAGCTGGGCCGCTCGGAGACGTGTTTGTGTTCAGGGCTGTACCACTGTGGGAGGATTTTCCATGCCATGCTGGCAGTAATAAACTCCAGCGTCCTCAGCCTCCACCCTGCTGATTTTAAGGGTGAAATCTGTCCCTGACCCACTGCCAGTGAACCTGTCTGGGACCCCAGAGGCCCAGTTGGAAGCTCCATAGATCAGAAGCTGTGGCGACTGGCCTGGTTTCTGCAGATACCAATTCAAGTAAGTGTCTCCATCACTATCTAGGAGGCTCTGACTGGATCTGCAGGAGATGGAGGCCGGGTCTCCAGGGATGACAGACAGGGAGAGTGGAGTCTGGGTCAGCACAATATCCCCATTGGATCCTAAAATAATGAAAGAGAACAACAAAGTTCTGGACAAAATTTATGAAACAGTTTCAGAATTTTTCTTCTGTTATTGATGTCAGGCTAATTTTTTTTTCTTTTTGATTCCGAAGAATACCCAAAATATCCAATTTCAAAACGAACCCAAGATTTACAATGCAAAGAGGTCTCTAGAAGTCATGTACACTTGACCACTCTTTCTATGCCACCATCTTCACCAGAGGACAGACACTGCTTGTTCCTTCCAGATTCATCCTCATTCTCATATCACTAAACATCACATGTCTTTTGCAGAGGGTATGGTATGCATCTAACGTGTGGACAAAGACACATGAAAAGCAGTGGTGCCCCCAGAGCTCACCCTCCCCCCCACCCTTCTCATCTCCCCTCCGTCCTTACCTGGGACCCAGAGCATGAGGAGGCCCAAGAGCTGAGCAGGGAACCCCATTTTCAGAAGCTGGAATTGATGAGTCCTGATAAGTCAGAGCAAGACTGGAGCTGAGCTTTTATCTCACACTTGCAGGGGAAGGTCCTCCCTCGGGAACAACATGCAAATCCCCTGGGGCGGGAGGGGGTGCAGCTGTGTGGAAAGAGCCAGGGCGAGGGAGGGAGGGGCCCAACTTTGAGCAAAGTGAAATAAAAGCCTTCTGTGTTTGGAATAAAATGAACACCTAAAATCCATACCTCTTGGAACAGTGGGAAGAATTCCACTGTGAAAGTCCGGATTGATTGCAAGAACCCAGGGTACATGGCCTGCGGCTCTAAGAAAGCATCAGAGACCCTGAGGTGTAGACATGTGTGTCCAGGGTCAATATCCGGGAGGGGAACAGTCATCTTGCTCTGGTTCTTCCAGGCTGATCTAGATAAGAGAACAGCTCCTTCCCCACTAGTACTGACCATCAGAACTTTTTCCAAAAAACTGCACAGAGTTAAGCTGTTTCAAGAGCTGTCAGGTAACTGCAGTTCCCAGGTTACCTGTTTAAGAATGTTAGAAACAGGTGTTAGAACTGGTCTTTTCCTGAGACCTCATGAATTATATTTCAAAGACCACTTAAATCACAAGAACTTGACAGTAAAATGAAATACCTGAAAACCAGTTGTTTTACTCTGGTGAATAATCTATCATAGTTCTATGTCTCTCTCTGTCTCTCTGTCTCTATCTCTTTCTGTCTCTGTCTCTGTCCCTCTCTCTCTCTATATATATGTTTTGTACATACACACACACACACACACACACACACACACATATACACATATATATGTCAGATTAATCAAAGGAAAAAATTCACTTGGGATGATGGAACATAATGAAAAAACAACGAATTATATTACTTTTTCTGAGTGGTGCTTAGAAAAACTCATCTCCTGTTGACTCTTTCTCACCTGGTAGAACCAGGTCCTGCAGGGTTTCCTGGGTCTTAGCTCTGTGTGAGGACCTAAGGTTCTCACTGGCCAGTATGTTGGAAGCCACAGCCATGAGTCTACATTTCAAAAGGAGATGCCCTTTCTGAGAAAAGCAATGACTGGATCCTTTATTTTTATTTTATTTTATTTTATTTTATTTTTTCCTTTTTTGGGGTACGCGGGCCTCTCACTGTTGTGGCCTCTCCCATTGCGGAGCACAGGCTCCGGATGCGCAGGCTCAGCGGCCATGGCTCACGGGCCCAGCCGCTCTGTGGCATGTGGGATCTTCCCGGACCAGGGCACAAACCCGTGTCCCCTGCATCGGCAGGCAGATTCTCAACCACTGCGCCACCAGGGAAGCCCTGGATCCTTTATTTTAATGTCTCAGTGTAGCCTATGTCTATCATTGACACATTCCTGGGCTTTTATTTAAGAATGGTCATTATGGAACACAGTTCCAGACCACCACCATCAGTCTGTCACACCAGCTTCCATTAAATAGGAAAACAACACGACTATTCTCACGTGTCAGCCTGGTGCAGGTCATGTTGAATTGAACAGCTCCTGAAACATAGTGCCAATGTCAAATTGCTTTTGTCTTGAAAATAAAACCTTGGAGAAATTTAAAAAGTTGACTTTACCATCTTATTAAAGTTTGGATAATTTAAATCCAAAGTCAGACTTAATTGACCAAGACAAATTAACTAATACGATACTATGTAAGATTCCACAAGAACATCTGGTCTGAATATTCTCTGGGAAATATTCAAGAATAAAATCTTGAAACGATGCTGAAAAAATAACCGAGCAAAAATTATGTTCATCTTTAAACTCTGAACCCTATGGCAATAATCTCGTTAACGGAGATAAGCCATGGTGTAGGGGTACAAGTAGGATTATACATGTTCCATATTTCACTGTTCAAAATATTATTTACTCTTTCATTTGATCTATTTCTTAAAGTTTTTGCTTTCCTTGACCTGTTTTTTTTTTTATTTTTTTTTATTTTTATTTTTTAATGATGGTAGCCAAAAGATTCTGGGTTTTACTCCTGGCTTATGAAGGTACCAAGACAAATAGGTGTTTCTACTAGGTAGCAGGCTGCTAACCTGAAATTCCAGCCCTCTAATCAACCATGTAGTGAAAGAAGTCAAAAGGTAAGCACCTGAAAGAAATAAAAAACAAATATGAAGCAAAATGGAGAAATTATTATAAATATTAAAGCTACTTTTATAGGAATCTTTTAACATGTTTTAACTTAAGAACTGTTTTTATGCTCTATTGTTAGTTCAATACTGTTTCCCTAAACTTATATTGAAGTTTTAGCCCCCAGAACCTCAGAATATGACATTATTTGGAAAATATTCATTGTAGATATAATTAGGCTAATTGGGATGTGGTTATACTGTAGTATCGTTGGCCTTTTTATAACTGAAATATAGTTAATGTAAAATATCATGTTAATTTCAGGTGCACAGCACAGTGACATATATATACATATAAGAAACTCTTCCCTTATACGTTATAAAAAAATATTGAGTACAGTTCCCTGAGCTATACAGTAGATCCTTGTAGGTTATGTATTTTATATAAATAGTGTGCATATGTTAATCCCAACCTCAATTTATCCCTTGCCCCACCCCCCCTTTCCCCTTTGGTAACCGTTAAGTTGTTTTCTTTTTAAATTTTTATTGGAATATAGTTGATTTACAATGTGTTAGTTTCAGGTGTACAGCAAAGTGAATCAGTTTTATATATATATATACACACTCTTTTAAAAATTCTTTTCCCATATAGGTCATTACAGAGTATTGAGTACAGTTCCCTGTGCTATACAGTAGGTCCTTATTAGTTTTCTATTTTATATATAGTAGTGCGCATGTGTCAAAACCAATCTCCCAATTTATCCCTGCCTTCCCTCTTTTCCACCCTGGTAACCACAATTTTGCTTTCTATATCCATGACTCTATTTCTGTTTTGTAAATAAGTTCATTTGTACCATTTTTTGAGGTTCCACATATAAGCGATATCATATGATATTTGTCTTTGTCTGAATTACCTCACTTAGTATGATAATCTCTAGGTCCATCCATGTTGATGCAAATGGCATTGTTTCGTTCTTTTTTATGACTAAGTAATGTTCCATTGTATATATGTACCACTTCTTTTTATCCATTACTCTCTTGATGGACATTTAGGTTGCTTCCATGTCATGGCTATTGTAAACACTGCTGCAATGAACACTGGGGTGCATGTATCTTTTTGGATTGTGGTTTTCTCTGGATATATGCCCAGGAGTGGGATTGCTGGATCACATGGTAGTTCTCTGTTTAGTTTTTTAAGGAACCTTCATACTGTTCTCCATAATGGTTGTCCTAATTTACTTTCCCACCAAAAGTGTAGGAGGGTTCCCTTTTCTACACACCCTCTCCAGTATTTATTGTTTGTAGACTTTTTGATGATGGCCATTCTGACTGGTGTGAGGTGATAACTTGTAGTTTTGATTTGGATTTCTCTGATAATTAGTGATGTTGAGTAGGTTTTCATGTGCTTTTTGGCCATCTGTATGTCTTCCTTGGAAAAATGTCTATTTAGATCTTCTGCCCATTTTTTGATTGGGACATTTGTTTTTTTGACATAGAACTGCATGAGTAGATTGAATATTTTGGAGATTAATCTCTTGTCAGTCGCTTCACTTGCAAATATTGTCTCCCATTCTGAGAGTTGTCTTTTTGTTTTGTTGATGGTTTCCTTTGCTGTGCAGAAGCTTTTAAGTTTAATTAGGTCCCGTTTGTTTATTTTTGTTTTTATTTTCATTATTCTAGGAGGTGGATCAAAAAAGATAGTGCAATTTATGTCAAAGAGTGATCTGCCTATGTTTTCCTCTACGAGTTTTATAGTATCTGGTCTTACATTTAGGTCATTAATCAATTTTGAGTTTATTTTTCTGTTTGATGTTAGAGAATGCTCTAGTATTATTCTTTTCCATGTAGCTGTCCAGTTTTCCCAGGACCACTTATTGACGAGACTATCTTTTCTTCATTGTATATTCTTGCCTCCTTTGTCATAGATTAATTGACCATAGTTGCATAGGTTTATTTCTGGGCTTTCTATCCTGTTCCACTGATCTATGTGTCTGTTTTTTTTAATGCCAGTACCATACTGTTTTGATGACTGTAACTTTGTAGTATAGTCTGAAGTCAGGGAGCCTAATTCCTCCAGCTCCATGTTTTTCTTTCTGAAGGTTGCTTTGGCTATATGGGGTCTTTTACGTTTGTTAAAATTATAATTAATAATTAAAGTTATAAGACAATTATGGTAGATCAGAAAATATGTTACTCCAATTGAGACTGCAGTCTAATTCATCGTGTCTTGAATCAAGTTGGGTCTAGGGTCTCACTTTGACAAACAGAATGTGACGACAGGAACCCTGTGCCAGTTCTAGAATCTAGGTCTCAAGTGCCTTGCAGCTTCCACCTTCCCGCTTGGGTATAAGAAAGCTGATCTAGCCTATTGGAGGATGAGAGGCCATGTGGAAGAGAACTGAGGACCCTCAGCCAACAGCCAACACTGACCACCAGATATGTGGTCAGTGAACCAAGCTCACTGCTCTGAGACTACCAGCCCTGCAGGGAATGGGACGGGCTCTGCAGGACACAGAAAAGGAGGGTGAAGGCTGGGTTTACACACAGTGCCTGTGGTCTGGTGACAGCTCTTCAGTAATTATCCCCTTCTTGATAAGAAATGCCCTGAGCACTGGAAACTGAGATTCTCATCTGTCTAAATTTAGGAATTCCCTAGCATTCAAAGCAGAGTCAGACTTTTTCCAAAGTCTGGCAAAGCCTAGGAAACAGAGGCATAAAAAGGGAGTTCAATCTGCCCCTTGGAGCTTGCCCCTTGGGTGATTCTTGTGGGAGCCCCACCCCTGGCGCTGGAGACGAGGGGAAGAAGGGTCCTGTGATGCTCTAGGGAAGACGGAAGTAGCATGAGCAGTGAACACTGCCCCATCTGCTGCCTGGAAAAGCTAATAGTCTTCCCCACCTCCTTCCCTCAAAATCCCTTTTCCTC